ACCCTAACTCTGTGTGTATATCTTGTACAACAAATTCAGGTGACAAGCTTACTACGAGCTTCCAAAGTAATAATGATCACTCAGCTAGGTGACAGCACTTGCTGACCTAGGTTGAGATCAGTCTATCATTATATTGAGATCAAATTGCTAAGGATGGTTAGCCCTGGTAAATGTTTGGATGGAGCCACCAGGATATATCAGAGCTGGGAATTCTAAATAAAATCCTGGAAGAAGGCAACAACAAATCACATCCATGTTGTAGCCAAGAAATCTACATGGGTATGTCCATGAAGTCACCAGGAGTTGAGTTTGATTTAAAAATGTTACTTAGATCAGATGGAACAATTTAGGTTCCATAGGTGTTTTATTATTTCAGAACTCTTTTCAAACAACTGTGATTAGATACAGGAGACATTATTAGTGGGAAGCAGAATGGGAGAGACACTGGTAGGTTGTTCCTAAAGTAACACTGGGTCCTTCACAGATAATTCTTGGCCATTATATTGCCTTGGTTTCAAATTCTTTCGTAACTGTTCTCACACAGTTGTTTTAGAGTAAATAACTGTTTCAACAAAACAGACCAATAATTGGGGTGAATAGTAATAACTATTTTTTGGTGAAATCAGCTGTGTGATTCTGCGCCAATTCAACAGAACTCTTCTCAGTTTTCCCTTGTGGAAAGTGGTGGTGAATTGTTGCTATAACCTGGGTACTAATGCACACATTTTGTTCCACTTGCATGCTTGCCCATGAGATCTAAGCTGAAGGGAAAATTGCTATTTTTTGTTGCTCTGTTCATTTTCTGCAGACAGTATTAACTTGTAAATTGCCTTTAAATATATCTGGCCTTTGCTCCATCTAAATGAGACAGGAGATCTAAAAGACATCTTTTTGGTTGAATATGGGATTTGGAATATGCAATGCATATGTTCTAATTCAAAGTTGTAATATGCTCTCCTGCCCTTGTCTTCCTCTTTGCCATATCAGTCACTGAAGAAGCATCCAAATACTTTTGGATCCTTGAGAGGGGAATAATGATGAACAATAAAATATATGCCCATCATAGATTTTTTTTCACAGCACATGTATAAATTCTTGACCCATACTGGATTTTTTAAAAAATGAAGTTGTGGAATACCAGTGGAATTCTGTCAATCAGGCAGAAGAAGCATAAAATTATTTCTATCTTTTTACTGTTTACCCTCCGCAATTTTTAAAATTCTGAGGCATTTTTGTTTCGTAAATTATTTCTAGGATCGGATTGTTGCAAAATATGCTGAATAAAACAATATAGATTATAATTTAGCAACTGTCCTGATGGGAAACCAGTTCTTTAGTACCTCAAACATTTTCTTTTCATAACTACTTCAAATTAAGGTACAGCTTCAAACCTATCTATATGAATAGAGGTATCATTTGGAATCACGCTAGTTCCATGAGTGAAGTCAGAGTTGTAATCTATAATGCAAGCCACTTTCAAAACAAAACAGTGACATTCTGAGTTATGACATGGCAATTCTATGGTTGCCTAAAGCAGAGATAAACCCTCTACTTTTTAATTTTTTTTATGCTTTTGAGTCAGCGTTGACTCCTGATGAGTTTCTGGACTAGTCCCTGCAGTTTTCTTGGCAATGTTTTTGGAAGTGATTTGCCACTGCCTCCTTCCTCCTAGGACTGAGAGAGAGGGACTGGTCCAAAGTCTCCCAGCTGGCTTCGTGCCTAAGGTGGGACTAGAACTCATAGTCTCCCAGTTTCTAGCCTGATGCCTTAACCACTACGCTAAACTGGCTCCAAATGTTGCTGGACTTATTCTCAACAGTACTAGGCAGCACAGCCAATGCTGGGGGTCAACAGGAGATGCAGTTTAGTAACATCTGAAAGGCCAAAGGTTCCCATGCCTGAACTAGCTTTCACATTTTGTTTTTACTGTCCAGCATTGTGGGGAAACATTGTGAAATAATAACAGCTTTATTCAACACTTAATTTTCAGAAGCAGAAACATTCAGTTCAGTTCCTGATATGTTCCCAAAGCATCCTTCATTAAAATGGATATTCTTACTATTTTGAAAATTAAATATTAACCATATTTCTCCCAACCTTACCTCTTGCCAACCAAAGCTCCCCTAGCTGTATCTCTTGCAGAAAGAACTCTTGTACTGTTGCAGAATCTTTCAGCTTGAGTAACTAAGGGTGTTACAAACATTTTTTTTAAAATGGAAATCAATTAATTAATCTAATGACAGTAAAATTAGTAGTATTTTTTAAAATCTAAAATTAAGCTTCCAGTGCTGGAAATAAATCTTGCAAAAGCACCACACTTGCAGTTCATAAATAAGCCCACTGGTTTCAGAAAAGCTTCAGTTTCTATGAATACTCCATGACTACTGGCATTTAAAAGGCACGTTATTGTTCCAATTACTATACCAGTTTTTTTTACATGCAGCAGTGTAACTCTAAATACTTAAAAGTAGATGATCTATAGAGCCAACCACCTTCATACAATATCTTCACTGGGCACAATTTGTGATACACTTATATCATAGATGTGGAGCTGAATACATACTGTATCTCTTCCCAGTTCCTCTTACTTATTTACACATTTTGGTGCCACCCATTCCAATACCTTTGGGTGGCTATATTGGAGCTCTGAGTGGCTATAAAATTCTAACATTCCACAACATTAAAACTGAATGCTAAGACTTATAAAATGTTAGAATTCTAAAAAGCCTCAGTACAGGTAGATTTAAGCCCTCTTTTAAACTGTATTGAAGGGGCCAGCCTCAGCTCCAACAATTTATCCTACAATACGGGCCCTGCTATGGCAAAAGCAAAATTTGCTTTTGATAATAAAGATGCCTGTGGCAGGATCTGCAGAAGAAAGCCCATTGAGGATCTAAGAGTGTGAGGTGACCTGAACATGAGTAGATAGCTCCTGCAAGTAATTTGGGCTTAAGATGCGATGGGGTTCAGAAAACAACTGGCAAATTAATGTAGTTGTTTTAACACAGGCATGATGGGGCACCTCCTAAAAATGCTACTTGCCAACTATGCAGCTGTACTTAAATCAGGGCCAGCTGCAATTTCTGAATTGCAACCTCATCAGCATGGCAGCTGTGAGGGATATTGGGATCTATAGTTCTGCAACATCTGGATAATTTTCCCTGTCTTTGGATTGCAGACTAAGGGAGAACTGATACTAATTTTGAATAAGGGGGATCACAGCTAATCTGATATTCATTAATTGCATGTAATTAATATCTGTGTCATCCTCAAGGAAAACTGTAACTTAATCCAATGCATGTTAATTACTTGTCTTGATCCTTGTAACATCCTTGATAAACAAATTTAGGAGACTATTCATCATTGTTTGCTTTGCCTCTCGTTTAAATAGGCAATATCTAAATGTATCTCCAAGCTATGCCAATATTCTTAAGATCTTAATACAATTTTATGAAATAAACTCAGAACCCATATATTTAAAAGCATTTTACTATGTACTTGACTGCCAACAATTCTGGGATTCTCACATTTCTAAAATAGGATTCCATTTAAAAAAAAAAAAAAAAGAGTGGACTAAGTCCTATGTCCCACATCACCACATTAAATTCAGGGAAGAGTGCTAAAAGTATAATTCTTGCACCATTTCAATCATGAATGTGTAGGCATCAAAGTCAGCTCTATTTCAGCTGTCACTCAGTCTCTACTTACTGACTGTTAATCTATTGGCCTTTTCAGATTGGAACAGAAGAAAGGAAGAGCTGAGTCCTGACATTTAATGATGACTACTATTAAAATATTCAGGCAGAACTTAAATAATCTTTGTATTTTAAGGCTAGCAAGCTAAGAAATCTGCACCATTTCCAAATGTTATATTTCACCTCTGCTTCATTTTCCTTTGCTTTTTCCTGTTCTTTTCTTCTTTCTGTAAGAGTAATATGAAATATTTAGTAACTACTTTTCATAATTCAGAGCTATGAAAATATTTAAGTAAATTAGCATCGCTGTTTCTTTCCTTACTATTAATCTTCTACAAAGGCTCAATATTTAGATTTTCCATTTTTTCTTCTTCTACACAAATGTATTTCTTAAATGAACAAAGAAATGACTAGGTAGGAACCTCCTGTGATAGAAAAAAAATCTGACCCCAGTACTTGCCTGAAATTAGACTTATTAAAATTAAAGGAGGTCTGATTAAGAATTTCCCAAATCCCAAACAATATGGACTGAATATTTCAGTGGAAGAAACAAAGGTTACCAGTCCACTGCAGTCTAGGGAGACAGTTGTGATATAGATATATTTAATGACAGGACTCAGGCTGATAAAAGAGTTGTGCTGATTGTTTGGGAGAAAATAAGTCCTCTTCTTTAATTATATTGGTACCTTTCTATCTACACCATAATTACAAAAAAGTCATTTTAGCAGTAAAGTACTTTGTAGATACAGGTGTACTGACAAACTGTTTATTCCCTCTTCCCATACTGTAAAGGGAAATATTTACTGCTGAAATACTTGCTCAGTATTGCTTCATGGGCAAAAATGTGGAATGTAAATTGTAATCATCATCATAATTAACTTTTAAAGTATAATTTCATGGGGATATAATATAATTGTTCCTATTATCTGGTACCTCTTCCTAATAAATTACTTCCCTAATTTCCCTTTTGAGATTTCTAGAGTAAAAAAGAAGTTGCTACTATAATTTGCTTGAGTAGCCATTCACATCTTCACTCTGATGGATCTCTGGAAGATAAATTGCTGAGTCTAAATCCTGCTCACATAAATGTGACAGTGAACTCTATTAATCCATGCAATGTGACCTGTATAGGATTGCAATGGGAGATTAACATGACTGGTATAGGAAGAGTTTTCTTCCTTATTTCTAATATTCATCCATGAACCATTTTAAATGTTTTATCAACAAATATAAGGGAAAGGTATAAAAGACTGAATGAGATAAAATGCTGAACTTATTTATAATACTGAAATAACATTGATCATATTACTGGATTTTTTCCCATTAGTTTAGCTTTAATCAACCAGTCAGATCTGCTTTCTTTCAGATCACTGAAAAGTAGGCTGAAATGGTAAATGGATACAGCACAGGCAGAGCACCTAAGGGAGCAAAGAGAAGAAACTGGGAGTGTTCATAGGCTACCTTGAGCTTCTGGAGGAAAGGCAGCATATAAACCACATAAATCTATACATAAAGAGACTGGGGTCTCTTCCAAGCATCTGTAGATTGGTCTAATTGGGTTATTTTGTTTGGTGTTTTGTGGACTTGTCCTGAAAAGCTGCTCCCAGCCATTGTGAGGAGAAGACAATAGTGGGCTACATGAGTAATGGCCTGAGGATGCAATTATTGCTTTATGTTATAGAGAAAGATGGTCTCAATAGAAGCAAGGACATCCTTATTTTCCAAAGACACGTTGCTAGGTATGTAATTTTTTTATACAGGATATAACGGGGACAAGGGGCTGCTGTTGATCACTGCCCTGTGCCAAAGGCAAGGGAAGAGGAAGAGGAGGAGGAGGAGTTGAGTTGAGTTTATAGCGTTACTTCCACCTTTTCCTTCATTCGTTGGCGGGGCTCGACCATCCCTCCCCCGCCCCATCTCACTTCCCTTTCAAAGGTGTGAGGCTGCCTCCGTCGTCCCCGGCCAGTTCAGCCGTCCAAATAATCAGCAACGGGCTGGGGAAAGCGCGGCCAGGTTCGAAGGAAGCGCGGGGCTTCTGCAGTTTAACAAGGCCTGCAAAGGACCATTCCTGCCTACGCACAGAGGCGGGTCTCCTGGAAGAAGCTTCCCTTTTCGGACAAGCCCGGTGCTTTCCTTCCCCGCCATTTCCCGGCAAGGGAATACCCGGCCACGCCTTCTTCCCAAGGCGGGGAAAGGACCGCCCGACCGAGCCACCCACTTTCTCTCAGCTTCTGCTTGAAGTTCGGGGCGCTTCGTCGTTTTCGGTCGAAGTAGACGCAGTAGCCGAGCAAAGCCAGACCGCAGGCGCCCGCCAGCAGCCACAGCAGGGCGCGTCGCGGCCAGCATGCCATGGCGGGGGCAGGGGCCGCCCCCCCCTCCCTTTTTTTCTCCCCCCGGGGCGGGCGGGGGGGGGGGGG